ATGAAAAATAAATACATTCAAATATTTTAGCCGAAGAAGTGAATGACAATTTGCAATGAATCAAATTCATCTCCACTTGATATTTTACTTTAAATAAATGAAAATATTAAAACAAAATCCTAAATTTGCAATAAAGTTTAAATCATTCTTTTTTATCCAAACATACATGCCATTTTTATGTACATTATAATAAATAAAAACAAAAAACTCCTTAATCAAAATTCATCACCTTTGCCCAATGAGCATTCACAATGATTAGCAATCCATTTCTAAACAGATAAAACAAATATATTCAACCATAAGGTTAATGAGAATTAAATTAATTTTTAAACTAAGCAACGAGAAAACCTTGTCAAGTACATTAAAAATAATTCTAAAAATGTCTACTATTCCTACTCCAAACAGAAAAAAATAATTGAATGTTTTTTCAACATTATACCTAATGATTGTTCAAGCATTTTTTTGGTTTCAAATAGGGCCTTGAAATGCAGGCGTTAGCCATCTATAATTAACCTCACAGTTAGTGTTTTATCCAAAGAAACTAAGAGTTACCTCCCTTTAACTGCCTTGCAGAACCAAATTCTATATTGTACGAGATGAGGGGGAAGAGCAATTTAACTTCTAAAACAAATACCATGTTAAGGCAAGTGGTGTGTGAAAATCTCCAGACAAGATGTACAAACTGTTCAAAATACGATTTGAATATTAACATTATTCACATTGACACAACAAAGAAAATAACAAACAAAAACTAAATCTGAATTCTAAAACTTGAATTTATCCACTTCAGAAATATTAAAACCATTAATACAGACCATGCAAAATAAATGACTAAAGAAAAAATTTTCAGCTTTTAGAACTTTGTGTAAAACCATAAAGGAGAAAGTAATGATGAATTTTTGAGTTAACTATCCATAACAACTTGTTCTTACTGTCAAAAATAAAAAATATATATATATATATTAAAGTTCTGTATCAGACTTTATCAAGACGCTTTGTCCTTTGATGGATATTATCAAGGCAAATGGAAAGATTTTATTTTGCAATTTATAAACGAAGAAATTTTTATTACTTAGCCTCCTCTATATCTTACCTTGACTTTCACAATTAACCTTATGAATATTTTTGAGCAATTTAAAAATTTTAAAAACCTATGTTTTTTTTTTTTTTTTTTTACTTCTGTTTATAAATACATGTTGCAAAACAAAATCCTTACATTTGACTTGATAAAGTCCATCAGAGGATGTTGGTAAAGAAAAGTATTCCTTTGTCTTTATTCCTATTGTCTTTTTAGAAATATTTGTCTATTAAATGAAAGGAATCCAAATTTTTTTTTTTTTTGGTAAAAAGTGCTTTTATTGTTTGGAAATAAAGCAGACAAGAAAACAGTTTGTTTAAAGTTTGAAAAAAAAAAATAGTTTAGAAATATTTTAATAACATTCAAGACAAACAGGTGAATTTAAGGTGTGAAAGACTTGCCTAAGTTCTGCACAGCCACCAAATTTATATGATCTGCTTATTTGCTCAAAAGAAAGAAAATATGGGGGATGTTTAATATAAAATGATTTAATGGCCTCTTTTTGGTTCTATGATACAGATGATAATTTCAGGAAAAAAAAAAAAAAATTACTGGTTCAAAGTCTAAAGTTTATCTATAGGGGGACTGAAAAGTAACTCCCTATTTTATGTACAATAGACTCTCCAGTCTTCTAAAAATTATAGTTAGACAGTAGAGTCCATCATACATAAAATAAGGGGTTACTTTTCAGTCACTCTGTATAGGTCTAATAGAAAATTCTTGAATCAAGGTAAAGCAAAAATATACAAAGAACCTAATTCAACATATCCAGATATTAACCAACAAAAATAAGGTTTTCAGCAGTAAACGTTTTTTGTCTTTTTGGATGGAAAGAAAAATGGTTAATACTCAGCTGATTCAATACTGCAAAAAGTCCTTTACAAGTTTTTTTTTTTTTTTTGACAGCATTTCAAGTCCTTCAAATTGCAGACTCTTGCAGAACACTTTTGGAAACCTTGATGATAATGCCTCTCCACATCTTCTGAATTAAGCCTCACTAGTTTCACTTTAATGACTCAAGATTTTGTTTGTTTTTGTTAGAATACGCTATAAAAAAAATTAAAAAAAGTTTGAATTATGAGATTTTCTTAATTTTTTTATTTTTGAAGGAAAGAGGAATGAAAATACAACTCTTTCTTTCTCAATCTTCTATATATATATATATATATATATATATATATATATATATATATATATATATATATATCAAAGATGTACATGATTGGGGAAGGGAAATTAGTAGATAGCAAAATCAAAGAATCTTTAGAAATGATTGGGCTGATTTAAAAAAAAAAAAAATAAAATAAAAAGACAAGTGTTGAGCAGGGTGAGGAATATCCAAGCTTAAAGATTACAGTCACATTTTACAAGGGATTCAGATCATACCTGGGTATGTAAAGATTTGAAATAACATCAAAATAAAACAAGATCATTATTTATAAATAGGTAAAAATAGTGAAACTGCCTAGAGCAGACCTCTAAAGACATGCTAAAATTTAAAAGTGGAGAGATGATGGGTAACACTCACCCATTCAATCAGGCATGATTCATTGTCCCAAAAAGCGAGAAAAAAAAAAAAAAAAAAAAAAAGAAAAAATGATTTGCTAGATAATCACAACCCTCTAGAAAATTGAAAACCCTAAACAGATCGCTACTACACTTATTCTTCACAGTAGAAGACATACTATCATTTGAGAAATCGTATAGCTAGCATCATAATCATTTTTGGTGCAAATTTTATGTAATTCCTAACCAAGTACAAAAGAATTATTTTTTTTTGATCAATGATTTTTTTTTTTAACGTAAGAGGATGGGTGAATGAAGGAAGGGGAAAAAAATTCAATGACTGTAAAAGTACGTTTTTCCCAAAGCAGTGCTTTGCTTCGTTAAATTAAACAAAAAAAAAAATCTACTTACAATAAATATAAGTGGAAGTAACAGCCCCACCTCAGAAATACAGAGGATTTTCTTCTTTTCAAGTTTACCCTCTACAACTGAAAAATTCAATTCCTAACAGATGAAGAAAGATTGATTTAAAAAAAAAAAAAAAGTACTTCTCTGCTTTTACATGTAAATATAACTGGTTTTAGGGACTAGGATTCAAGAGGGTTCTTTTACTACCCACTTGTGCTATTAGGTTTTTATTATTATTTGCAGGGATCAAAAATGAAACGTCATCACATAGTTACCCTCATTTCTCCGCTCTCTTATTTAAAACAAAATGGAAAGAGGTGTCAATGTCTTATATATAGGGAGTCATGGTTTACATATTTCTGTAAATGTGTTTAACCTGTCCTAGACAATTCTAAAACTAGGAATGAAGGTAAATCCAAGAATCATGATTGCAGGTAACTAATAAGCAAACAAGTACTACGGGAGACATTTAATATTTCAATGTTTATTCACATCATCTTCAAATCATGTACTTTTCAGAGATGCTACAAAACAAGAAAAAATATAGTAAAATACATTAATAAATAAAAAGTATATTAAAATACATTAACAATTAAAAAGTATATTAAAATATATTAAAGTCTCCCATGACATTTTTTGGTAATAGTTGAATACTGATTACCTACAATTAAGTCTTTGTTTGTTTTTTTATTTAGTAATCCTAAAACTATACCAAGAAATACTTTCCTTGAATATTAATGAGAATTATGTCACATGACTGTGTGCTTCAAATGCCATTTGATATGGTAACTTCCAATGTTCATCAGTTGAAGACAATATGAATGATCGATGAGAAAAGAGAATTACAATTATGTGGCTATTGAATTTAGTTTCAACTCCTTTGGTGATCTTTTTATATCACTTAAAAAGAAACACTGTTTGCTTCCAAAGTATCCCTCCAACCCCACTCAAACACCTATCATTTATTATCAGTCAGCATGTTGGAGGTGGGGGGGGGGAGTATTCTGAACATAATCACCCATTCAGACTATGAATAATAAAATAAAAAAAAACAACCTCTCAACGTGTTTTACAACTGCTTCACTTTAACAATCTCTGGTTCTCCAGGTGCCATTTTAAAACAATTTTTTCTTGTCAGGTAGTTTGTTTTTTTTTTTTTCTTAATTTCCTTTTCAAAAAGATGAAAAAAAAGAAAATGTTTAGATCTCATAAGTGCTTCAGTTTGTTTTAACAAGATTACAATGTTTAATGTTAAACTGAAGTCTACATCATTAGCTTTATGCTAAGAACAGAAAAAGAAAACTAATAAGATTTAAAATGTTTCCCCAAGAGCAACACTTGAACCTGCATCATTAGCTTTCTTTTTTTTCTCTGTAAGTGAACGAAGTCCAAGATACATACTTTAATAATTGAAATAACCAAATTTTTCTTTTTACAAAGACAAAAAGGTTGAAATAATATTTCAGATTTAAACTTTCAGAAACAATTAAGAAAAAAAAGTTTTTTTTTTTACAATATCCTGACCTGCTGGAAGAAAATTTGCTTTTTTCTTTGCTTTTCCTCTTTTTTTTTCTTTTTTGTTTTCTCTCTATGTTATATACAAAGCAAATTATTAAATTATGGTCAAAGTTTAGCTACTTGACCATTTATATTGCCTGCTGCCTGTTTTGACCGTCTGCCCACACCAGTAGATGAAGGGGTGGGTGGACTTGCTAAAATAGCGACCATTGTCTATGAGCAAGTACAACAAGCCAATTTCAATATTTCTGATTGAACAACCAGGGAATATGAACCCAAGCTGTACTTTGCAAATGTCCAGTGACAATATTCAACAATAGAAATCAACAGCTTCCAATCACAACAGGATGACCATGGGTGGACAAGTTGAGAGGTAAAGTGAAGGTGTGTGTGTGGGGGGTTGTTTTGATGGGAGGGAGGAAGGTCCTCACTGTCCAGCTCTTGATGTTTTTTGAAAAGCCAATGGAGGGTACAGACATGTGAGTATAACTCACTTGGCATAATGCTTGTAGAAAACTATCTTCACCCTCTCGATGTGGTGACATAGTTTAATGGCAGGGCCCAGCTTCAAATCTAGATGATCTTGCACAGTTGGAAGAGTCAGCAGGAGCAAGGCCTGACCATCAATCTCCTACAATGAAAGAAGCAGATAAAAACAAAAATTAATTTCAGTGAAAAGTGTGTGTGTGTGTGTGTGTGTGTGCGTGTGTGTGTGTGTGTATATATATATATATATATATATATATATATATATATATATATATATATATATATATATATATGTGTATGTATGTGTGTATGTGTTTCATTGAGTGACAGACAAGGAGAATTTTATAAGATTATTTTTTTTTTTATCCAATTTTTCTAATATTCTTGCAGTTTTTCTTTTCTGGGGACTAATAAAATGAAGAAAAACTGTGTGTAGTGAATAAAAGACGTTTTATGATAACTGAAGCACTTTATATAAAGTGGTTTAAGCCGAGCCTCATGGATTTTAAATACAATGCATGTCCTTCAGCAAAGATCACAATATTTTGAATCAATTTAATAAATACAATCTGTTTAAAAAAATGCTTATTTGTCTGTTATCACATGTCATAATTATCACCATCTCAAAAGAACGTCTGATCAATGTACCTTTCTACTCTTAACATCTGACTCTGAAATTAAATTTACAAGAATTTCTAGTAGAATATAAAAGTATAGTTATGCCTTCAGCTCACTTCCTGAAGATGATTTTAGTTTAAAGAAAAAACATTTTTAAAAGCATCAAATTTTTTTCTATGCAGTGTTGCTATTAGTGTGAATGAAAGATTTTACTAATATTGTAACTATTTTACAAGTATTATAGTATTTCTATAGGGGAGATGGCAAAATCACTTGCAATGCATTTCTATAGGGGAGGGGACAAAATCACAATGCATATGTTTTTATGTAATCATTAAAGTGAAGTTAAGTTTTGAGATATTTGTCTAATAAAGCCTGTGTGACATTTTATGTTATATATAAAGATAGTGTATGATTCTACACTTGTTATATTTACGTAAGTGCAACAATAAGAGAAAAAAGAATTACATGCTTTTTGAGGTGGCTAGGGGCAAGGGAAAATAGAGGAGGAGGTAATTAAACTGACGATGTCTATAATGTAAGTTTATTGAATACTTCTATAAAAAAAATTTGATACATACCTCTTGACGGAACAACCGGCCAAATTGGGCACAATCAGTTTTGCGGATGAAGTTGACAACGTCGTTCACCGTCCAGTGGAGGGGATTGGATTCAATATCTACATAGAGTTCTTCTTCATCTTTCTTTTTCACAGAAATATCTTCTTCTTCTTCCTCCTCCTCTTCCTCCTCCTCCTCTTCTTCCTCCTCCTCGTCATCTTCCTCCTCCTCTTCCTCCTCCTCCTCTTGCTCTTCTTCCTCTTTTGCTACAGGAATACTTGTCTGCTACAAATCAAAAAGAGAAAAATCAATAAGCATAAACAAAGATTTTAAGACATTTTTTTTTTTTTATTATTATTATTATGTAGATAATGAACAAAACGGGTACAGGATGCCTGCTGCTCAAACTACAGAACTAGGACCGATTCATAACCTAAATGTTAAGATGTTGTCCTGCTCAAGGCAGGACCTTAAGGAAAATGGATGGGAGTTTAAATCATAGCAGAAGTTTATTTATTATTTCTGAAAATTTGTTGATAATATAAACAACCTGAACGTGGTAATAAAAAATCAAGACAAGAGATAGTTAAAAATGAATAATAATAAAGAACACTTGAGTGTAAACAAATAATATGGCATAAAGTAAAAATTAGAAAAGGAAGAATATAGCTATATGTCAATATTTAAATGACATTCAATGGTTGGATTTCATAACAATTGTTCAGGTGATGTTGTAAAACTGGATTCTAATGATAAAGGATCATAGTTGATACTGAATTTATTTTAATTTCTACGTTTTGTTGTTTTTTTAACAATCAAAAAGATGTAAAAACAACTTGACATTACAATTAAAAAAAAAAAAAAAAAAAAAAAATCAATGAATACCTGATAAAAGAAAACTTGACTGTTTTGAAAACTTTTGTCAAAGAATACTGAAAGCCGGCTGTCATTTGGAACTTATCTTCACTATTATGATGTAATATTGCTCTCAAAATTTTCCCAATAACTTTATGAACAAATAAGGGCACTTTGATGTGGAGTAAAATGTTTAGCAAGCTTGTCTCACAAAATCAATTACGACTGAATAGTGAGTTTGATTCTCACTGGATGCCCCACACTTTCAGCCTTGTGCCACATCTAAGCTATGCTTAGAACAAAAAAAAAAAAAAAAAAAAAAAAAAAATCACCATAATGAACAAATCATATGAAGTAAATAATTACCTTCTCATTGTCTCTAATGTGGCATAGACAATGGAAAGTATTTTTTTTTCACTCACATCTGCACGAGCAGGGATGATACGGCAATGATAAGATAGAATAAATTGAGAATAATCAAGTCAGGTATCGATATACACAGAACTCAAGAATGAAGGACTTTCATTACAAGGAATCTTTTACAGGCTTTTAAAAATGTTAGTTATAATTAATACTGCAAGTTGTTAATTATCCAAATCTAAGAAAGTATTTATCAAATCTTTAACATGAAATACTTACTGATACAGGGGCAGCAGTCTGGACAGGAGGAGGAGGACTATCACTCTTCAAAGGAGGAGAAGATGGAGCTGGAGAAATCAAAATTTTTTTATGAGTCTTTCTTTCAAAACTATACCTCGGGAGCTTTGCCCGCCTTGTATGGATTTCTGAACGAGGGGCTACATGGTGGGTATACTTCCTTTTAGCAGGAGGCTTGGGTTCTGTTGCCTTTTTGGTTTCGCTCTTACAGACACTGTTCTCACTGGCAGGGGGAGACGATGATGACGACTTCTTGGCCGAAGCCACAGGCACTTCCTCAGTCGGTGTGGTGCTGCCGGCATAGATGTCATCATCAAACGAAGACCGAGATTTTCGGCTCATCAGTGACCCTTTCCTCCGTTTCCGGCGCTTGCCCAACTTTTTGCTCCCGTTTTTGAGATTACTGTGGCCGCTAGGTGGACGGCCAATCTTCCTTTTTTTCTTTCCAGAGTAATAGGCTGGAAATGTTGAAGAAAATTTAAGACAATAGAATAATCGAGCCAAGACCATATAGAAAGTTAAAAAACAATTGTGGTGATTAAGCAAAAAGTATGCAAATAAATCATTTTTTTTTTCTTACTCATGTCAAGACATAAACAAGATACTATCCAAAAATTATGGAAATTCGAAACGATTGATCAATCTGTTTATCAATCATTTTAGCCAGCATTTCCAGAGTCCAGCAAATATTTTCCACATTTCTAAAAACCACTTCAGGAAATAACAATTTTTAACCAAGTTTTCATTTGTTTGGTAAAAAGATAACACACACACACACATTTTATATATAAAAAGAAATATACTCTTAAGGTGTGCTATATTTATGGGATAAAGTGCTCAATATCAGAGAGCTTGTGTAAATATAAAAGTGAACATTGAAGTCAACACTTGGAGGCAACAGGCTGTTTCATGCTAAACGCAATCATCAGGCCACAACCGATTGTGTCTAGCATGAGACAGCCTGTTGCCTCTAAGTACTGACTTCAATGTTAACTTATATATAATGTGTGTGTGTATATATGACAGTAAAGAAAGATTATCTATGTATACATCTTATATTTTTTGTTATTTTTTTTATTTAGTTTTTCCAGCAAACAGAAAAATATAAGAATGTTGGAAAAACTAAACAAAAAATAATTAAATTTTCCTTGTCTATCATATTTAACAAAAGATATTTAAAAGAAAGTTGCTGGCCAAATATATATTAATTCTTAGATGTAGATATAATAGGCTGATGAAAGAAATTGAAGATAAAAAAAAAAAACTAATATTTATTGTAAATTAGTGGGCCCTTTGACCAAATGGAAGCATGATAAGAAAGATGTTAAAAAGTCAGAATTTACAGACACACCTATGTCCTTTCTTAATGAGACGAGACAAAGTTGGACTTTTGTGTGTGTGTGTGTGTGTGTGTGTGTGTGTAAGGACACAGGTGTGTTAAAAACTCCCATTTTTAATATCTTTCTCATCATGCATCCATTTAGTAAAAATGGTCTACTAATACACAATAAATATTAATCTTTTATCAATATTATATTTTCTTATCTCTCAAATTTCTTTCATTGATACACACAGACCTGTTGAGAATGATTGGTGAGCGTTCAGTACATTTTTAGTTTATCAACTGCCTATGCTATGAAATGCCCACTACACTCTCTCAATCATAGCACCATATCCTGCCTTGGTGCACAGTGTGTCAACATGTCAGATGATGCTACAATCCTAGGCTATTTTTAATAGGAATTTCCTATCTCCTAGCTTAAATCAATTTAATAGACTTGAAAAATATGAATCACTAATTCAAATTACAAAAATAAAAACACTTTTTATTTTAGCATTTAAAAGTTAATATCACTGAATATTCAAAAGTAATAGCTTCATGGTTAATGTCCTTTCGTTGCTTATTACCAGGTTAGAGGTTTAAATACCAAAGAATTTCCTCACATCCAGTGAATTATATATTAACTGTTCTTGTAAACCCTAATCTCACAGGTTAGATTTATATTAAATAAAAGCCTCAAAACTTTTCATTCACTCAAATGATTAGATAGTGACAGAGAAAATTCTCAATAGAGGTGAACAAGTGAAACATTTGATAATAGCAAACACAAGCCTCAGTTTCTTACTATCTAGTGATTTTACGACTACTACAAAGATTTGTAATATTTTTTTTTTTCAGTAGCAAACAAAATATTTCTGGCAGTAAAGAAAAAAATATTTAAAAGATTAAAAAATAAATACATTTTAATTTTTGTTTTTAAAGTTTCAGTATCTTACTCATTATTTATTAAAAATCAGGAAGAAGGTCAATTGATTTGTTCTTTATGGCTTATGAAACCTTTGAGTTATTTAAATCCAAAAACATTTTGGATTATAATAAACAAGTGAATATGGCATTCACAATTTTTTACAGATACAAGTCCTACTATTTAATTCATAGCTGGAAGGGAGTAGATAGATCCATACTAGTATTTGTGTAGAACTGAATGTAAAAATCACAACTAGAATTTGAACTCAGCTCTCTAACATCTCATTAAGTTGCTTTCCATTACACCACGAGCACATCCAGAAAGACAATACTGTCTGTGGCCAGGTATAAAGGCAAGGTTTGGTTTGTTTCACAGCATATCAACCCATTGGGTCATTTAATGCTGAAATTTAATTTGGGAAGGAAACATTAGTAATTTCTCTTACAAAATATATATTGCTGGTAATATTTTTTTTCTTACAGAAATGTATTGTTGGTAATTTTTATTACTAGGAAAATGTATTGCTGGTATTTTTACTATAAAATTTTATACTTTCATAATGTTTTGGCCCTAGTTTTGAGGGTGGGAAGTAACTATTTATCCATAGCTTGGACCCCTAACAGGTGCTACCACCCTGGGTCAGGGTAGACCTGGGAACAAGAGCAATTAAGAGGTCATTTTAGGCTCCTCAAAACCCTCCCAATCAGAGGCCTTACTGCCAGATACAGTTTATTGTCATAGCTAGAATGAATTAAGGCAAATACAACTGACAGAATAAGGTTTGCATAATCAAAGCTAATGATTTTACTGTCATATTACAAAGCAAAACTGTTTAAACCCCATCTTCATCAATTAATATATTTTATTGTGAGATGTATTCCAGTAGTGGGTGCGTGTTGATAAAATAAGGCAACATTTTACACAAGTCAATAACGCAGGATATAAACAAGAAAAATATATTTACTGACTTACTTGCTATACAGTTTCTATTCATACATATATACTTACTATATTTCGTCTTTGTGTGCTGTGAACAGTTCTCTGGGCAGTCATCATCAATGCAGTGACGACTAATCAAATTGGGGCAGCATTCCAGCTTAATACAAATCTGTCGACAAAATTCATCCAGCTGCTTTACATTGCGACATAGTTCAACTACAGCACGGTAACTCTTACCCTTATACCTGGAAGGAGGAAAAGAGAGAAAGCCCATTAGGAAATGGCATCATTACTATTATTATTATTATTATTGTTATCATTTTAAATTTATTTCTGTCATATACTCATTTCCTCCCGTGTCTTAATCAGAGACCTAAGGTCAAAAATGACATTTTCCCGGTGCATTTGTGGAAAAAAAATAAAAAATAAAGAAAAAAAAATAAAGAAAAAAAATACCTACAAACACATACACACATTTTTTATAGATAAAGCCCTTCATACAGTGTGAACAAGTTTTTGTATTTCTTTAAGACATTAGTTAACAAGGGTCTCTTCAATAAGTCTCTCAGAACCTTTTCCAATCAAACCCAAGGCCCCAACTACAACTGGAATTATTAAGGTCTTCATGTGTCACAGGTTTTATTTTTTTTATTTATAATCATCATACTCAATCTGAAAAAGAAAAAATACGATGATTCACTTCATACTCCTTGAACATCTTATCACTAACATGTCATAATGGTCGATCGAGAAGAGCAAATCAGCGAATCTTGTGTAAATCCATTCTTTCATAACTATCTTAACAAGTCAGTAGAAGCTGCTATTCATATTGTCAACCTTGACAGAAGCCAATTAATCATCTTATTAGGGTAATGCAAAAAATTTCTAGTAACTTTTTTAATTTCATCATCACCAGTCACATAACTGGGTTTGGTCGTAGGGTTGGCATGCAACTGAGGACCTTCCAGTTACCTCTTGGTGCAAACCAATCAGTCAGTTAAGTGACATACGTGAGGCACACTTGGGCGATCACTTATCTTTCGATACATGACTGACGAGGTAGATTTTTTTCCCCACAGTAGGTTGCCATTTTTTTCTGCAGTCGATTGGTTGCCAACCAAGGCTAAAGAACCAAGTCTGTCCTGCTATTCAACCCATAGCTGGAGGAGAAGAGATGCATTCATACCTGTCCCAAGGGTATTTGTGTGCAAGTGAATCTAACAAACTCAACTGGAATTCAAACTCTGATCTCAGAGTTCTCACTCAGAGCCAATATCCATTAGAGACCCATTCATGCATAGCATGTATTGGGTAAGTACACTTGACAGAGCTCATCCCTTTCCAGGGATTCTTTATTTTAATTTACAGAACACTTTATTCATAGCATCATTATTCAACCAACGTATTTCCCAGGCTTTCCTACATATGCAAAAGTAGATCAATAACATTAACTGAATTTTTATCTGAAATTTTCACTGTATATTTGATTTACATGATTAATATATGGCACTGAATTAACTGCACTAATAAGAAAATGAAGTTATTAGTGCAGTTTATTCAGTGCCATATATCAACTACACTAATAAGAAAATAGCAGTCACACCCTAGGCATTGAAATCAACCTGCCAGAGGCACTACATGAGAGTAGTTGGTGAAGGGCAATCACATCAGCCCAACTTGAATCAGTGTCACCCCTTCATTGTTGATGGGCCAGGGTAGCCTCACCACCTAACGAAACTGCATCGAACTAACAACCCAGCCAGGTGAGTCCTATTTGATAAACATCAAAGATTTTAATCAAAATGTCCTTCAACTGGTTTTGAAGGATTTTTATTGTAGAAAATGCTTTTTTTCATATATGAAAAAAAGCATTTTCTACAATAAATCTTTCAATATAATCCATTTTCTTATTCTTAAAAATTTTTGTTCAAAACCAGGACAGTTCAATTAAAATCTTTATATATATATATATATATATATATATATATATATATATATATATATATATATATATATTATATATATATATATATGCAGATATAAAAGTGGACATGCAGATATAAAAGACACTGGGTCAACATGTAAGCGATCTGGGATTGCAAAGGAAATGTTTGTCGCAGATTATTTCCACTTCACCGAGAATAAATCACTAAGTTCAGACTCGAACATCGCAGACAAAAAGAAAATGCAGAAAACTCGATTTGCATGTACTATTTCACAAATTACAATGCACGCAACCAGTCAGAAAAATAACTCCCTCGGCAGCCAAAATCTCCAGATTTCACCTTCTCCATTGGCTTATATACAGAGCCTACTGAGGTAGTATTGTAAGAGCATTTAAAGATTGCCTGAAATATGAAACTGATGGTCACCATGCAGTGTTGATTCCTATGCCCAAACTGTTTAGGTAATATATACAAAGTTCAGATATTAAGCATTATTTCCCATAGGTACAGCAAATTACAGACACAAACACATTCTGTAAATAAACTCTTGTCATAGAAACATTACAGTTTAAATGTTATATAATATTTACACTTATGACATGCTTATAAAATTATAAATAAATGAAAAGATTGTCTGCGAAATACAGAAACATTAATATTCTTATTTTATATTTTTCATTACATTTTATAACATTACGAGTTGGAAAACCTAATAATGAATACAAATATGCAGTATAAGGAATAGGAAAAAAAAACCCATTCAAGAACAAATTGAAAATATGTTTCTAGGCAATGATAATTTCATTAATACAAATTAACACAAGTGGCATGATTTGATTTTCACATTTCAAGGCTGATTAATTCTGCAGATGTCATGAATAAGCACAAAAATCTTAAGAAATTTTAATCACCGATTCTTTTCAACCATTTTCCTCTTTTTTTCTAATCACATTTCCGCTAGATATTTTTCAGGACTTTGACCTTTGAAAATTGCAAGCTTGCAAAATGTGACAAATTATACAAGCATCAAAATGTAGTGATAAGAATAAAAAAGAAAAACTATCTGTCTATATTTCTGAGATGAGGTATTATGTACACTATTTACATTATTCAGACTATTGTCTGAATCTTTGTTGCCATATTTATCACAATGTTTCAGGGTAGACTGTTCTAGTCTAATGTATGTCAGTTATCTCCTGTTAATGCCCCTCAGTCTACACCAGCGAGCGAAATAAAGGGTTCAGTTCAACATTCCAATCACCTGAAGAAGGCCAGAGCGTACAACAGCCGAAACGTTGTAATAAATATGACAACAAGGATGAGGACAATAGTTTGAATAATGTAAAGAAAGAAACTAGTTAAAAAAAAAAAACGCATCATCATAGCAAGAACCTGTTTAGGTAATTCAGTCAAAAAGGCAAGACATCTGTGATAAAAAAAAAAAAAAACAATGTGATAAATTAAGGAAAACTGCTCCCCCACCAAAAAAGAAAAAAAAAAAAATCATAATGCAATGTTTCAGAATTTAAATTCATGCATATTTTTCATAACTACTTTCATCATTGTTTTAAAATTGATTATTTTTACTCAATCACAGGATTTATAGCTATACAGAGAATAAAAAGACAAAAATGTGATAATTACTTGGCTTTGAGCAATTGTTGATGCATATTTGGATTGGCCTCTCCATCCATCTGCAACTCTCGTAAAACTCTGCACGACTTATAAGCAACACTTATCAACATGGACAGCACCTCAGTCATCACCAGTTTAATTGGTCCAGGCCCAATGAATTTGGGAAGCTCAGCTATTCGGCTCTTGGCAAGGTAGGGACCCGAAAAGCATCGGTGGTTATAATAAATTTTTGGACACCATGTATCCTCTGGTAATATAAAAAAAAAAAAAAAAACAATAAATAAATTTTAAAATAAAAAGGGTCAGTTAGTAAGCTGGTATAGTAATTAAAAAATTACTAGATTATTTACATTTTAGACATGAATTGGCACTTCTGTCTTGGAAGAGAGTGTAGTATCTGTGCCCACTGAAGTTGTACGCACACACACATTTTATTTGTTTAAATGTTATTTTTAATGGATACTCGTATTTGAGTAGATGATCCGTTTTTATTTATTTATTAAACAGTATATTTATTTATTTACATCTACCAGCCTGAATATTCGAGAAATCTTAGAAAAATATGCACCCTCTAGCACTTGAATATTCAGGCTAATAGATATAAATAAATATACTGTTTAATAAATAAATAAAAACAGAGCATCTACTCAAATATGAGTATCTATTAAAAATAGAGTTTAAAATAAATTAAAAATATGTCGGATTTAATTCATTTCCTAAAAAATTGTCTTTGTTTACATTAGGTTACAAAACAGACCAGATATGTATATCTCGAGAATCAGGAAGATACTTGTTCGAAAGCACTATTCAGGCTTCATTTGATCAGGAGGTCCTATGTGACCAAGGTGTCAAGACATGTCAGATCTAATGACGGTTTCCCCTAGAGGACACAAATTCGAATCCTGCCAGAGGACGCATATTTTTCTAACAAGATTTCTCAAATATTCAGGCCAGTAGATGGAAATAAATAAATATACTGTTTAATAAATAAAAACACATTCTACTCAAATATGAGTATCTATTTATAATAACATTTAAACAAATAAATTAAAATGGTCAGATTTAATCCATTCCTAAAAAAATGTGTGTGTGTGTGTGTGTGTGTGTGTGTGTGTATAAGGTTAATAATTCTTTCAATTTCTATAGAGTTAAAATTTAAAATTAACAAATGACTAAAACTGATGCAAAATCTGTAATGATGACTTCATTGTCAAAACCAAGTTCCCTCTTCTTGGGAATTATCAGACTTATCCCAAAACACCTTCCAGTTTTCAAAAACAGTCTGTAAGCCCTATTTACCGGATCACTATCAGCCACTTTATTGTTTTGTCCTCAATCTCATCCATGACATTACAATGGGGGATTTCAGTGTCAGGAAAAGCCAGGAAAAGCCAGAAATAACGAAGTCAAATCTGAACTGTAGTTGGGTCAAACAGAAAACGAAAACAAACAGAAAACAAACAAACAAACAGAAAACAAACAAACAAACAGAAAACAAACAAACAAACAGAAAACAAAAACAAACAAACAGAAAACAAAAACAAACAAACAGAAAACAAAAACAAACAAACAGAAAACAAAAACAAACAAACAGAAAACAAAAACAACACTGCAACAATCTAGTCACTATCAACCATTGAGAATGCATGTGAGTTTACATCATGGCCACATAACTGGTTCACGAGGGATTCAAAATGGCTGAGTGTCTTCTGGGCAGAAGGATGATGCAACAAATTTCTAGCACTTTTTAAAAATCTTTTTCTTCTATTTCAAACATTCTTATAATCATCAGATTAGTTTCACTAGTTATATTCCCCCGATCCCAACAACCTTACGCAACTTTTCATATCGATATACTGCATAATCAACTGGCATAAAATCATTTGCTTCTCTGACAGTGTGAAACAATTTGCAATTAACCCTTTTCAGTCAAATGAACTTTTTTTTGACATTTTATCAGTTTTAAACTCAAAAATTCAATTTGTGTGCTTTCTACCCAAGTTAACCCACATTATATATATATATATATATATATATATATTTTGGGGCAAATGTATGACAAAAGGAGGAAAAAAGTTTTCATGTGACACGTTTCATCCTTTAGAACTTCAGACTAAATTTGTTATGATTGTGCAACTACACAGGGGATTCTGGGAATTTAAAATTTTTATTTTATTTTAATCTAGCCAATTTCATTGAGATTCTTTTTTTTTTTTCCAATCACTTTTGTTAATAGATATCCAACACTGTGATAATAGAAGTTCAGCCGGGAATGATGAAATGTTGTAAGATTATATATATATATATATATATATATATATATATAAGAAGCTTCAGCCGATTCAACAGCATCTACTTCTCTATGGTGAACTGGTTATCATCTAGATTTGGTTGTAAACAAATGCCTAGGTTTGGCCAGTCCATCTGGAAAGGTTTACTGCATATTTTACAAGTATTACAATTGCTAAAGAAAAAGATTCTATGAGAGAGCTTTTTCCTTTTTTAAAAACTTCAAAAATTGATAGAGAAAATAAAACCACTAGACAGTTTTAGTTGGTACCTTCTGATGCCAGTTTTATGTTGACAATCTTGGCATAAAAACATCAATGCAATACTCTATAAAAATACTATTTCAACTAGCCATAAATGTTAAACAAGAAAGAGTGTAACCAAATACATCCTCTCTCATTTTATGACCAGATATAACTATATTCATTATCAGTTATGGCACATTAACAATATATAAAAATAGGAATATTGCATAAGAAATAAAACACTGAGGAAACTTCAAAACAAGGTTTGGTCATTTAGCCAATATGACCTCTCGCCAAAATATATATAGGAAAGAAAAAAAATTACCAAAAGAAAAACAATACTTACCTTCCATGTTGACCGTTTTAATTTTATTATATGTGCTCTCAATTGGAATAGGCCTGAAAAACAAAAGCAAATGTATTAGAATAGTCCTCTATCTTCAGGAGAATAAATAGTTTCCACACCTCTTCATTATCCAATCCACACATAATTTGTTTGTTTAATGCATTTTCTACGGCTTAACATTTTGCCGGTTAGTTAAAGCCAGAAAATAATTTTTTTTTAGAGATAATAATGGTTTAGTGATAAAGTCTTACTGGTTAACCAATAGCAGGAGAGGAGGAGAAGAGGTAGATTCATGCCTTTCCCCAAGTGTGTTTGTACATAAGTGAATATAACAAACCCAACAAAAACTGGAACTTAGCTTTGATTAACAATTCCAAGCTATTATAAATTTAAACCACTACAAATCCAAGCTTATAACACCTGGTATTTCCAAGCGGTCACCCATCTAGGTACTGACCAGGCTTGAAGTTGCTCAACTTCAGTGGCCATAAATCGACACAAGGGAAAAGGATATGTTCTATCATCATCAAGAGATACCTAATCAGAGATTGTATCAAGACATGCGTGTGTGTGTGTGTGTGTATATACCTGCACACGCAACACAGGTAACTCCGTTAGGTATACTCTTCTAGTACAAGGTCGGATCTTGGATCCTCTTTTTGACTTTAGAACTGCCTCAGTTCTTCTTCACATGGAATCAATGAGCTTCTAGAAGCACTCTTAATATTTAGGTCCATGATACGATTATGTAGCCCTCCAATTATTGTACACTAGCAGCATGGCCCGGCATTGCCCGTGCTTGATTCAAAAATCGTACGACTCATACAGCAATCGCTATCACTTGACTTAAAATATTCTTGCCCTTCCTTGCCTTTAAAGGAGTGCCCTTTGCCGTGCTGATGTTACTACATGCCTTACTTCTTGCCTATCTCACATTGTGAATTTTTTCTAAGCTCTATACTAAACATTAAATCTGTTACGTAAAAAGAACTAAACAAAATGAACACAAAACGATCAGCTTTAAAAAAGGACTCGTAACTGGAAAAACTGAATGAAAAAAGAATGTTAACAACAAATACTTTTTCACACCCAACTCAGTTCTGCAGAATCAGAATCAATGTTGAGTTTAAGCAAGCCAATTGGAGTAAAGTGCCTTGCAGATTTAAATTTTTCCCCACTTGTGACTAATGTAGCTATCGATTTTTTTTGCATGCTAGTTAATATTCATGTCAGTCAGCTGTTGGCTCTCACTCTGGCCAGTAGAAAATGGCCGCAAACTACATGAAAACCACCGTAGAAGCATGAAAAAAATTGATTATTTCCACTATCAATGGGAGTTGGGAAATGCAAAGTTGGTCTTGGCCTTCCCGCTAACTTGGAGCATGTGCATGTAAATTTTGGTGCAAATCCTCAAAAATTGTGGCCGTGCATTCGTTACAGACACATCCTGCCTTTTATAGATAGAGATTGGTTGACTGCACCTCCCGGATTCAAATCTCCTTTTCCAACACATTCCAAAGGTACTCTCTGGGATTGAGTGTTGATAACAATGGAGGCTACATTTAACACAGAAAAAAATAATTGTTATAGTCCATGAACCAATCTGACACTGTTTTTGATTTGTGATGTGTGGCATTGTCTTGCTGGAAGTGGCCACCAGAATATTGGTGCATTGCCGTCATAAATTGAGGCAAGTGGTCAGCCACATTACCTAGGTAGGCTGCAGCAGAGGAACAAAAGACAGGAAGTTGTGGAGAGCCATGATAATCCACGTCCTGAAAGAACATGGCACATAAAAGAACAACACTTAATCAATGTTTTGGATTTGAGAAGAAACCGAGGGGGGGGGGGCAAGCTAAGAAAGGAAAAAAAAAAAAAAAAGAATTCAAATCATTCGCTCCAAAAATCGAAATATACAAAATGAAGAAATATTCTAAGACAATTTCACAAATAATGATCACTAGATTTGTAATGGTCTTAGAGACGGAAGATGAGAATAATGGTTACACCAAGGAGCAAGCATGAAAAATCAAAAAACAAAGGTGTTTTTAAAGGATAAGATTCTTCAGATTAGCAAGAAAAATCAGTTATGATAAAGACTAACAAATTTTTCTTTATTATCTCTTACAAGAAAATTACATCAGAAAATACGTACATGATAGATATGGTGATGTGCAGATGTTGTAATGGATTGTGGCTTGTAAGGAGAAATCTGAGAGCTGAGTTTCTATATTCAATTATATGCAAATATCATTGGGAAATGTATGAATCCATTTCTTTTCCCCTTAGCTATGGATTCAATAGCAAGACAGATTGTGTTCTATAGCCTTGGTTGGCAACCATTCCAAACATGTGACAATAAAAATCACCCATCTCCCAGCAAGCTTGGACTACTCTTGCAGATGCATCAGCCCATGAAAACACAGTGAATTCTTCAGTCATGCAATTTTGAACATTCTGCCACAGGCAGGGAAAGCATTTTTTTTTTTTTTAACATAATAGATATAGAAAGTGTGGACATATGAATGAACACTTCAAACAATCTTCAGCCTACTTGTCACATATATGTGTGTGTGTGTATGTATGTGCGTGTGTGTGTGCATATGTATGTGTATGTGTGTTAGCTAATGGGAGGGAGGCGGATCAAACTAAAGGGGGGAGGAAACCAGCCTTTCCAGTTCTTTTGTTTAGTGTTAATGCTTAGAGTTATTTATAGTGATGACATTTACTTTGTTTATTTTATTCATATTATATTTAATTAATTTATACATTTCATTTGCTTTGTACACTTTTCCTTAGTTTCTTAACTTTTGGTATTTGAAATAAAGTTCATTACATTTACGTTATGGGATTTATTTAGTCTTTTTGGTTTCCATGGGGTTGGAATTAGTAGTATTTTATTTGTTTGCTTTTGAAAATGAGCCCTAATCTGATTTACATGTAACAGGACAACTCATTACCAGTGACTCAACTCCAACTTTCATCAACTTTTTAAAAACAAATAAAAGTAATTTATTGCTGGCTGCTGATGAATTGTGGGAATGCTTCTTTACTTCCTGGGTAACTGTTTCAAACTTTGTATGAATCCTTGCATTATATGTAGAGCCTTCATCACAATGCCAACATTTTATGTCACTGTCTCTTTGACTAAACTTATCAAATACAAATAAATGACTTTTGTGTGCAAATTTTTCTTTTCCTCTTTGACTAAGAATTTCCATTTTTGGTGTGATGAAAAGTTTGAAAATTAAACACCAGTGTTGAGTCAACAGTGATGTCTCCTCCTAACATACACCAGAAGAAACAATACAATGAATGCAACTATTCGTTCATTACAATAAAGACCTTAAATTCAAAGAATTGTTGTCAGATACTTGAAAACGTATGACAGAGATTACTCTCTCGGCACATGCAGTAGGAAGAATGACTAAATAAAAGAACAATTTTAATGCAACATTAGCATGTTAACTGCTACTCTGGATATTCAAACCTTACAAAATGCCATCTATGTTTTTGTTAGAGTCACCATTAGAAACTGTAATGTAGGACTATGCTTTATTTCGGTAAATAAAATTTACTAAACTACTAAGAATGATGCTGATGTGCAATGTCAACACTGATTTTGTTTTGTTCTCCATCTTATACTACAAGACATTTGTGCAGGTTTTTCTATCCTTTTTTTACTACCTCATACACATCAAAGACAATACACAAGATGCTACAGATGCTTTAACTTGCCTTGTATAGCAATAAGCGTTTTTAACTTCTTTCTCTAAAAAAAAAAAAAAAATAAAAAAAAATAAATAAATAAACTGGGGTGGTCAAATACGCATACTCACTCTGGTTGCACCACAGCCACACGTCTGTGAGGTCGCCTGAGAGCAGTCCTTCGAGGTGGTTTCAATTGATACTCATTGCTTTCGCACCAGCCAACAGGGAAGAGGTTGTGAGATTCAATATCCTCGATGAAGCTGGGCTTCATCCTAGAACTATTGTCCAAATGGATCCACATGAGCCGGTCAACAATTTTAGTGATTGTGGCAGCACAAATCTGATTGCCATTTTCTGGATTCACAGCCTCAAGTTTATATCCACGTTGGAATTTGTGATATGGAACATCCTTAGAGGAAAAAAAAAATTACTGGATAAGTTTGGAATCTTTTCTTAATGTACGTGCATGTGTGTGTGTGTGTGTGTGTGTATATATATATATAAAAATTATAACAAACATGTTATAACATCACTACAAAAAAAATACATGTATATTTTCCTTCTTTGAATAATTTTATACTTTGATCTTAATGCAAAATTAAAATTTGTAATTTTTACTTTTTAACTTTATAGTAAAATTAAAAATTAATCAGAATTATTTCTAATTTAGTCTAACATTAACATTAAGGCATTAATAAATTGTATGTAAAGATCCTTGTCAAGTTTTTTGAATTATCATATACTTATATTTTGATTGGTCATTTTAGCTTATGTAACAATGTTTCCCCTATCGAGCGGAGTTTGGTTGGTTTTTGGATAGGTAGTATGTTCATATGTAAAAAAATAAAATAATAAAATAAAATGAATATAAGTTCCAGGAATTACTTTGACCATATCATCTACTAACAAGTAACCTAGGGCCCATTGAATTTCATATCAATAATTCAGCCTTTGTCTTAAAAACCGTATACAACATTTTTTTTTTTTAAAGTAAACAAATTATTCTAATACCATTTATGGTGTAATATTGCCAAGTATATTTTCTAAAGCAAGCAAATAAATAAAATTAGATAAATATATAAAACCAGAAATTTATTGTTTCAGACAAAAAAAAAAAAAAAAAAAAGCTGTCATTTATGCAAACTTGGATCTCTTTTTCTATTTGCATATTAAGTCCCATTTGGGTCATAATGACTGACTGGAATTTCAAAACAGCTTCCAGATTTTTAAATGAATGTAATTTTTTTTTTTTCATAAAGGTTCACTATTATCTAACTTTTAAGATGTGAAACTATAATAATTAAAGAAAAAGGAGCAAGATAGATGGTCAAATATATCCCCACACACAGGTCTGACATAGCTACAATATTTAAATAACTTTGTATCACAAAATTTAGAAGAATAAGGAAAAAGAAAATCTCTATACAAGAAAAACTGTGTGCAATAATCCATAATGGAAAGAGAGAAAAAAAAAAGCCTTTTGTAACAGACAAAATAAATCCTGTGGAAGATCATTTTTTCAGACATGTCAATTCTAAGTTAATAATACACTACCAAGCATTTATTTTTTTGTTAGATTTTCATGTTATATACAAAATTTTGTAACTTGTTGACTTGTCAAAATAAAAGTAAAAACTTGGTCATACTGTGCAGATGAGTCCAAAACAACTCCTTGGTACCGCTTTTGATTCAGAATGATGGAGGTAGTCAGGCCAGGTGAATTCTTCATTCCAACCTGAAAGAGAATGTATTTGGTTAAACATTAGTTCTTAGTTGCCTATAAATAACCAACTATGGAACTGCCAGCACTACTCCAAACACACAAATTGACAAGTTATCTTGGACCCTTATATAATGCCATCATATTTCTGGAATAGTTATTATAAATTCTATTAGACTACTTAAGGTTTATTTTGGTAAGTAAAATTAAATTTATTAAACAAATGATAATGTGGCTTTATTTGTTTGCCTCTCTCTCTCTCTCAAGCAGCATTTTTCAATCGGTGCATCAAGGCACACTAATGTGCCCTAAGTTAATAAGAGTAATTTATGAATTATTTTTATAAAAAAAAAAATCTTTACTTTTAAAAAGCTAAAGATACCAAGCACATGGCTTCCATGTTTATCAGTTGATATTTTAAACTGGATGCTAAATCTTGATCATCCTTTCTTTTTTGCCTTCCTCAATGGATTTAAATCAGTCAATTAAAAAAAAATTCCCCACAAATCCCTTTACATGAAAACTGTACCACTTATCTTCTTTGGGAATGCTAAACCAAAATTTCCAAATTTCATGATTAATTTTTCCTTATTAAAATTTAAAGTGCTCCCTCAGGGTTTTAGTAATTCTACAAGTGTGCCATGATGCAAAAAAATGTTGAAAAACACTGCTCTAGATGCATGTAACATATATATATATATATATATATATATATATATATATATAAAATTTTGGATGTGTTGATGGTGTAATAGATAGCAGCAGTGAGTCAGTCGTTCACTTTTGAACTGACTGCTTGGTTGAACGCTCTTCCTACGGACGAGAGGAACCCAAAGGAGGCTCCGCCAAAGGCCGGGGTCTCCTTCGGGGAGGTAAACCGGCCCTGAACCCGTTTATACGGGTTCAATGGGCATATATTTTGGCCGAACACACGGGCTTGGAATGACCACGTTAAAAAGGCCTTGTGCCACATGACACCCTTGAAGGGGGGGGTGACTCAATATCGTAATAGATAGCAGCTTTGAATGAAAAATCAGAGTCTACTTCAAACTCCTGGGGAGGTTGTTATACTCACTCGTGTACAAATACTCTTGTAAAAGGTATGAATTCATGTTCTCTACTCCCAGCAATGGGTTAAATAGGGAGGCAAACTGGGCCCTTCAGCTTTGGTTATCAACCAATCTTGGAAAAAAACTATGTAACACTCAATACAGTGCTAATTTGGATATCTCATATCTGCTTGACTCTGAGATCCTCAGCAGTGTTGGTGCAAGTCATTGTGATGTTGTGAAAGCTATATATTACTACAATCTCACCAATGGTCTTCCTCGATGAACAAGTCAACAGATATAGATTTCTTATTACTTTAAACATTATATTTAGTGGGTACACATGTTTGAGTAGATGTCCTGCTTTTTTCTTTTTCTTAAATAGTGTATGTGCCCTCTGACAGGGTTCAAATCCACCTCCCTTGTCAGAGAAGCTGCAATCTGATCCTGTATGCTTTAGACTGTTTAGCTTGAGAGAGCTTTACAGTGTAGATGATAGTTTCCCATAAAAGAGGGATGCAGGTTTGAACCCTGGAAGGCATATTTTCTTTATTAACACTCTCAAATGCACAGGCCAGTAAAAACAAGTTACACTGTTTAAAATCAGGATGTCTACTCAAACATGAAAACTAAATATACCATTTAAAGTAATAAGAAATAATGTCGGAGCGCAAATAAAATCAATTACTTAGAAATTATATATATATATATTTTTAACACTAAATAAAAACCAAAAAAACATTGATGTTTTTATTATTATTTAAGGAAATTTGGCTATTTATATTAAATAAAACCATCAAATAGGCACACATGTTAGAAGCAAGATGTATATACAATAAACCCTGTTATTTAACATGAGTGAACTGGGGTGAAAAAAAATTCAGGGAACACTGTTGGATAATTCCCCTCCCCCAGCCATTCATTTTTTTTTTTTTTTCTTATCCTGTTACTCTAATCTCATTGTTCTGTACCTGCTGGGGGTGTAAGTCTTATTGCTTTCCAACTGCACCACTTAGCAGGAAAAATGCCTGGTGAATCAATGTGACATCCAAACTGGATACTTGATCGCTCCCTCTCCGAGCGCAAGTCATCAATCTCCACGATGAAGTATTTGTCATCAATAACTTCAATCACAGTCGCAGGGCAAATCTCATTTCGGGTCACAGGGTTAATGGCCTCCAGTTTCCAACCCACCTTGAAACTGTGTTTACGGATATCTATCTGGTCCTGCAATATAGACAAGAAAAAAAAAAAAAAAATTAGTCATGTTAGGCAAAGGTAAAAAAAAATTTTTTTTTTTTTTTTCAGGAAATATTTAAGTAAAATTATTATTTAAAGGACAATTAAAAGTTAAGAGATTTTTAATATTTTTTTTCAAAATCACAAGAAGCCAATTGCAGGTCAACTGATTCTTTGTAGTCATTAAGGAAAAAAAAGTAAAAATATGTTTAAATTTAGAAAACATACATTGTGATGAGAAGGTAGAAATATGGAAAAAAAAATTATCTGTTGAATATTAAAACAAAATTCTCTAAGTAAATTGTCAAGTTGTTCAAAACTTCAAGGTTACTTGACTCCTTAGTCTTCAAAGCAAAACAAAGTAAGATTAATGGTAAAAGAATACATATGTAAACAATGTGCATTCATGTCTATTTTTGTGCATAACACTTTTCAAAGTTTACATGTACAAAAATAGATAGAAGTGGCAGAATAGCAACTCTTTGATCCAAAGTAAAATGAGCAGATATACTACACTGTTCCCAAGCAGAAGTGCCAATCCATACATTAATAATCCAATCATTTGTGACAGATAATCTGTTGATATTATTAAAGAATTAACAAAAGTTAATATATAATAAACAAAACTGATTTTCCAGATGAGCCAAGAATAATTTTGTCTATGTATTAAGAAAATATAATATTTAATACAAAATTCTTTCTTGTTTGAAAACAATGAAACTTGAAACAAGGAACACAATTCATCAGGCCATCACTGACTGTATTGGAAAAAAAAAAAAAAAAAAAAAAAAGAAATATTTTGACATCTCTCTCAGCTTTTTTTGTACAGACTTGTTGCCAACTGCCTACTGTGTCTAAAGATGCTTTATACGTCTTCATTATCAAAGCATGTAATCCTTAAAAATAAAGAACTATTGAAAAAGCTATTTTAGCCATTTTTCTTTTTTGTACGCCATTGTAGATTCTGTCAAATTCCAGCATGGACCAAATACAACCAATTTTTCAGAGCTGAAATAATAAAGACAAAAACAAAGTTTTTGGGTCTTTTTTTTTTCTTAAAGATTTAATCCAAGTTCTAAAATATATCAATGTTTGGATGAAATTGAAATGAACATTTTTTTTTTTTTTGTAAAAATATTTCTTTTAGTTTATGTAAAATTATCTTAGTATAATGTTAAGAAAAAAAAGAAAAAAAAAGGTTAACCAGAGATCTGCTTACCTTAAATATATCAACAGGAAGAGGCATGGCTTCGCTCTCTCTTAAGGAATCCTGAAGAATTTCTTCCCATTCTTCTTTGGAATATTGGTCCTCAAAGTCTAAAACCAACAGAAAGTTAAATTTTAAGTCATTCAAACTATTACATTATTTACTCTCTTACTATTTTCTTTATCTTTGTTGTTATATTTCAGCAATTGTGCCTTCATCAAGTGCTTACCAATCCAGGTTACCTTCAGGGAATTTTGAGGTGAACCCTATGGGAGTAGATTGTTCTCATTCCATGTCTAGGGATATTTTGTTTAGTTCTTATTTAGTACTGCTGAGTTCATCCCGTTTCCACAATGTCTGTACTACCAATCCCAAGGATTGAACTCACCAAAGTCACAGATTTTAATTCACGAGGCTATTGTCTTAATCAAATAGCTGCAGCTGATGGCAGATAACATTCCCATAGTAGCTGTTTCTTTTGGTTTTAAAACTGGAAAAAAAAAAAAAAAAACCCAGATCTTATATACCAAGCTTAGGTGACTTGTCTTGGATACCAATCTACATTGACTAACTCAATAATAGTATAATATTAACAGTTGAGGTGTGTGGGGGGGAATCTTACATGGAATCAAATACAATATAGTTTTTCTTTTTTTTTTTATGTCATCTCTCTCATCATCTGTCACTTGTTTTTATTCATTTCACATCCATGCTCATGCAACTATTTCCTGCCATTTAACACTAGGATGGCCAAGGTGTCGTTTTCGACACCTTCAAATTTTCAACAAATTACTATGGAATAACTAGTTTTGGTTCGATGCTGAGGCTTATGGACAATTATTGAATTTTACTAAAGATGCTTAACAGACTTAATTCTTTAAAAAATATTCAGTGGAATAGCTGATATTTGAGGTTTTACCTTGAATGGCCGATGTGTTGTTGTTGACACCTAGGCTATTTATAGGGTAAATGCATTGAAAGATTTCTCACAAGCAATAATACTTGTTTATGTCACCTATCTATCTATATACACACACACACACACACACACATATATATATAATTACTTTCTTTCAGTATGAGGTATACTAATATTTGTGAATTTCTTTTCAGACTTGTTATTCCTGACTTGAATATTGAATATATTAGAGATGGCTACTTCACGGCATAATGTAAATAAAGATGTCAAAGGAGCTGGCCATACTAGTGTTAAGTATTGGGGAGGTGGACGATGTTTGGTCCAATCAAATTTTGGCTGAATAGGTTGGGTTAAAAACTTTTCAGTATCACTTCCTATGTAAAATAGAAAAATGTGCATAAGCTATTTCACTTCAGACTTACCTTTGCGCGGAGCATATGTATAATTGTTTTCTTTTGCCCAGCCAATTGGATGAAGAAGATTATTAAGATAGAACAGCCAAAAATCATGATTGGTATGATCCAGACCTTCATGTCTGAGATAGAGACGACCACCAACATTCTCAAGGACCTTCACAATCCATATTTGACTTGGATTTATATAATCTTGCAACTCAAGGCGCATCCCTTGCTTGATCTGATCAACAGGTGTGGTCCCAGTGGTCTGTACAAGAACAATGGACAGAGTAAGGAAATTAGGATATATACAAAATTAAGGAGGGGGTGCAAAACCAATATACAAGGAAAAATGACCAAGAATATAATGACAGATCTTGTTTTACTGATGACTATATAGCAGTGTAGTGAGAGGATTGTAGGTGTGCTGTGAAAATTTTTAAGGGTCATTAATTAAATTATATTCAAAAGACATCCATATGTTTCAGTATAGATTGAAGTGTGTTGTGAGATGAAAAAAAAAAAAAAAAAAAAAAAAAAAACGGTTGAAAATTATTCTACTAGTGTATAAAAAAGAAATATCTTCGGAACAATAGAACAAATTTTATAAAGATGTACAAAACTGCTAATTTTTTTTTTTTTTTTTTTTAATTTCCTTGTCTGACATAATCTGTTTTTAAGAACTGGTAATATTTTTTTAAGTATATTTTATTTTTAATATTAATTCATGATCAAAAATAAATTGTTAGCATTTTTTTTCAAAAATATTGTAAGGCAAATACAAATAAACTTTCAACTGGCAACCTTCCTCAGTCTATAAAGCTGTGAACTACTGCAGTTACAAGGAATATAAATTTGATAACATTAATGAGCAAAAAGCAAGGTCAGAATTTAAAAAAAAATAATAAAGAAATAAAAAATTTCTCCAGTCTTGATTTGAAATCATTATCACTTTTCACAGCTGCATTGTTATAATATTGCTACTTGGCTGTGCTGGTCTCTTTTGGAAAGAATAGGAAATTGCCATTTACTTGAAATATATAAAGATGATGGTGATTTCTCACAGGTGCCACTATTTTGGTTTTGATCAGATAATCTTCAGTAAGCTAAACACACCTAACACAAAATATAATAAAAATATATCATAAAATTGGTCCTATTTTGTGCTACTAAATGCCTACACTGGTTTGGAAACAGCATTAAGCACTAATTAGTTTATGATGCAAACACTAGGAACCAACATTTCAGTGTCCTGAAAATATATATTTTGGACAGCAACCTTTCTTTTTAAACGTCTTTCATTAAATAGGACAGACAAGGAAAATTTAATGTATTTATTTGATTTTTCAAGCATTCTTAGATTTTTTTCCATTTTGTGGTAGTAAGGGAATGTAAATAATGTCCATTGACCCAACTGCTTTTGGCCACTTCTTTAGCCATTTTCAAAGGTGTTTCTTTAAGTGTTGTTAATTTATCTTCATGTTTTGACTGTTTAAAATGTACTTTTTGTGCTTTTGAATATTAGTAGAAACATTTATTCTAACCCTTCATGTCTTGAGCACAACTGTAATTTGAGCGAGTGTCTTTCTATTTTTTGAAAAACTTTCGACACACCATTTCCACTATTAAATAAGGTAAGACGAGGTGTGTTATATATATATATATATATACACACACACACACACACACATCAACAGCAGGCAATGCAAGTTTTCATAAAGATGTATAATTACATCAATTTGAAAGTAGCTGAAAAAATTTTTGTCTTGAATTTTCCTCTTCTGATACTGAAACTAACAATTGTTCTCAATTCAAGCAGCTTACAAGGCATCTCATCAATATGTCATATGAAAATAGTCCAAACACAAGTGATTAAAATGTATAGTAAAACAATGACAGTGTCATGATAAATTTGACAATTGTTGATTAATTATGATATAAATTTTTTCTCCAGATTTTTTAAAGCTTTTTTACAAAACTCAAAGGGCTATTTCTATTGTTTTTTTTAATTCAGGTACAAAAATACAGACAAGAAAGAAGAAGTGGACAAAGAGAGCAGTTTTTATTTCTAGGATAATCTTTTTATGACAAAAATAATATTTACTTATGAATCAACAATTCACCCATTGTTTCTACATTTTGATATTAATCAACATAGTTTTTATCATTTTCTCACTGAATTCAAATTTAATTTTCCAAATCATTTGAATGAATAAGCTTATTCTTTTCACCGCTTTTGTTAATACCAAAATCTTTCAGCTGATCAATTTTACAACCTCACCCACGTATAAAATCCATATAGAAGCCATGCAAGCCTCTCTCCTTTTCTCCAAAGAGTGTCAACAAAAGAGACAGACATACACATGCTGTAGGGAGGCTGAAAAATAGATCAGCTGAAGCAATGGAGTTACACCCAAAGTAACCTAAAAATATCAATAGCATGAATCACAATTGAAATGATAATTTTAAAATTTACAGAAAGTCTCTCGTTTACTCTTCAATTACCTACACACATTTTTTTTTCTTAGGTTCACTTTCATCCTAAATCAGAAATATCAATTATGTTACATAAGACAAGTGATGTTTGTTTGTTTCTTTCTTTAATGTTTAACGACTTATCAATCTTTAAACAAGTGATGTTGTAGTTTTATTAACAGTGTGCTAAGCTCTCATCCATAATCTTAATGTTTTGTACTTCTTTAAGGTAACAACTCAACAGGAATCAAAATACCAATTTATGTTATTTTTATTTTGTAGATTTTACAAATATGTAAGTTAAGTGTTTCCTTCTAGCTAAATTCTTTACAACTATAAAAGAACTACAACAGCAATGACAGTAATTGTGAATTACTTTATTCTCAAACAAAGATACAAATACAAAAATACACTTGGCCCTTGGTTTATATTGTACGTTGGGTGATAAGGGATTATTTATAATCAGTGTCAATTAGCATAGAAAATTCACCAGGTCATTACAGCAGGAAACCTAGAGATGCAGAGATATCATACAGTTCTGGTCTATTTTTCATGTTGCTATCTCAAACTGGCTGAAAATTGGGGTGCCATAAAGTTGAGGGACCCACTCCCTGGATAGAATAATGTGAGATGTTAATAAAAGGAGCACCAGAGTTCTGGCCAAGGCTGCTAACCTCACCACACTTGAGCAGTTAGCTTGGAAAACAATGGACAAGTCAGCTGCACGGTTATTAAATGATATTAGCCTATCAACCTCATCCTACTTACAGATATCTAGCCATGAGCACCATGCAGTTCAACAACCCCAAAGAACTGATGTATCTGTTTCTTCGTCAAATAAGAATCCTGTTCACAGCACCATGTAAAATAACCACAACAATTGTAGTAGTAATTCTGAATTACTTTCTCATGCAAATGTGATACAAATACAAAAATACACTCGGCCCCCTGGTCCCTTGGCTGTTTATAAAACATCAGAGGTGGTAACATATGTCCTCCTGTGTCTGCTTGCCAAGTCACCCATTATCTAATGAGACATTCCATTTCTACTCTACAACTATGATAGACCCAGATGAAACAGTCTTCAACAGAAAGACTTAATTCAGGGTCTTGCATTAAGACCATAGGAGAAAAAAAAAAAAAAAAAAAAGCATGACTCACCTTGTCCAGCAGGTAACTTGGGGCAGTCATGGCCCCAAATAGAGATTTGGTTAAAAATTCTTGCCAGTTACCAATTTTATCCTTTAATTCTAGAGAGAGAGAGAAAAAAGAAAAGAAATAGCTGAATGAATAAAACATAAAAACTGAAATTAATTTCAAAATTTATATGACAGACATGGATGCGTGTTGTGGTGTAGTGGATATCAGCTCTTAAAGAGAGAGCAGAGTTCAAATTCCATGAGGGTTCAGTATATATTGCAAATACCCTTGTGAAAGAGTATGAATTCATCTCCCCTCTCACCAACTATGGGTTAAATAGCAGGACAAATTGGGTCCTATAGCATTGTTTGGCAACCAGTCTACTGCCAAAAAAAAAAAAAAAAAAAAAAAAAAAAACCACCAACCTACTGTGGGGAAAAATCAGTCAGTTATGAATCAAAAGAGACATGATCATCGAAGCATGCATCACATCTGGCACTTAACTGACAGTTAACATGCATACTCAATGAAACCTTTGGTATTGTGTACAAAGTTGTACAAGTGAGTAAATACCAAGCTGATTCAGTACCAATAAATGTAAATATTTATTCAGCTAAACCAACTTTGGCACAAGGCCAGATCTTCAGAGTAGCCAATTCACTTGCAATGACCTTAAGAAGCTAGTAAGCGGACTATTTCTTGATAAATGTTCTTATTTTAAAGGAATAAGGTTTTGTTTTGTTTTTTTATTACATCAACATTATAGTGTATATTCGGTACCAAATTTTTTTCCATTATCAATCAAGTGGTTTTTATTTCTCACCACTATACATCTAAGAGTACCTGCCCCACCATGTGTGATTTTCCCAAGCTTTATATCTAAGTCTTTAAACACACACACAAAGAAAGAAGCTAAAATGTGTTGTACCTTTTAAAGGAAGGATCCCAAACAAGAGCTATTTTACCAGGGGCTACAGAATTTGTTGTTGCACTTCCCAGCCTTCTGTTCTCCAAAAGCCTTTGTCTTACATCCAAATATTTTGACATGAGCAATAAAGTCGATAGTCTTCAATATATGCAAACATTTTCTGAGATCACAGACAATTCCTAGGTCTCTTTTGGACACTGACAATGGTGTATCACTTAAACCCACTTTACAAATACACAAGGCTGGCTTCTAAAAGAGTGTTTACTGTTGTGACTATTAATCACAGATAAATAGTTAAATAAAATAAAATTATCAAATATATCAAAATAATGTTTTACATCTGATCACTATATCAACATGGTCACATTAATAAAACTTTTTTTTTTTTTTTAGATGCATAAAATGAACAGCTTAAACATCATTTGGTCCTTATATATATATAAAATTATCAACTTGAGGAAAATTAATAAAAATATACAGATAATTTGAATGTTGTCAGTTAGCCTTTATGACTAAATCAGTAAAGCAGTCACCCAAACTTAGAGGATGTGAGTTCAAGTCTTGCCAACAGCTTAATCTTTATTTACAATCAACACTGCTTACTCATAATCATAAAAAGACAAACTTGGAGTTGCAATAAAAAGCAGGTGAAATGAAAATTTATATATATTACTGTATTATAAATTCAGACAAGTAACAAGAACGGTAGCCTATGCTGTTTGAGCATACCAGATACATCAAATGAGTGACCAGGAAAAGATCCTCCCAACACACACACACACCATCAAGAATTCAGTCAGCCTTAAGCAACAATCTTACACATTTTCGAAGACAGATTACTTACCATCTGGTGGCATCAAGGTTTTGCCATTCTCAGCACACCACCCAATTCTGTGCACCTCAGAGGCTGTGAGATCACACCAAAAATCTGCAGAACCATCATCCCCATAGCCATCATAACGTAATCGTAGTAATGGACCACATGTCATTATCACGGAGGCCACCCAGTATGTATGGGATGCATTTTTGACAGCTACTTCTAGCTTCATGTTTTTCACAAAGCCACTCTGCAAACTGCACTCAACCTGGGGAAAAGAAAACAAAAATTAAAAATCTAACCCCTGCAAAAACACTGTTCTAAAGAGAACAAAAAAACACGGAGATTTCTTTGGGTGGGGAGAATTGTGCAGACTTTTTGAATTTAACCAGAAATACAAATGGCAGAAAAATCAGATCAATGGCTATGTATTTTGCCAGTTATAAAGAGGTTTTCATTTCAAAGTTGATAGCTGTACATGGCTACTCAAAATGGGATTTGTCATGTATATCACAGTTGGCACTGCTGAAATGCTGTGATCACACCCATTGTTTTTTTTTTTTCATCTCAGTACATGCTCTGTGTTTTTTTTTCTTTTAATTTAAATAATCTAATAAAGATTCAAGATAATCTATTATGAACAATGAATGCATCAGTAATATGGCATTTATTGGCATGGAAATTGGAATCCACAAGTAGAGTTCAAATTCCAGGAATGTCTTTTGCATTCTTTTACCCAAATGCACTTGGGAAAGACATAAATTAATCTCTTAAGAGTTAAATAACTAGGTAGACTGGGCCCTCTAACTCTGTTGGTAACCAGTCTAAGAGGAAAAAAACTGAATTCCAAACCATGGAAAAGGCAAGAGAAACCATCCTATCTTTCCCAAGAATACACAAATGAGAAAAAGAAATTTGTGAAGAGCCAGGATCACCTACAAGTTAAAGGGATATAGTATTAGATGAAAACTATGAATAAAAACTAAATTTATGTACACTGTTATGCAAACCTTTTAGGCAACTTTTAATTGCTTTTTTTAATTTTACCCTAAAATTGAGGGCAATTTGTTATATGCTTTTTTGCAGTATATTTTACGATCTTTGAGGGCCAGAAAACAAGTTACTGCATTTTCTTCATGCTGGATGATAGAACATCTTAAGTATAATGACACTGAAGGCCAGACAAAAATACTGGGCCATCAGTAAAAATTTCACCTTTCTGTTCTTAAGCAATTTTTTTTTTTCCCCAAAAAAAAATTATTACAAAAAGTCCAAGACACCAAAGTATAGAGTTGCTGTCTTTGGTTTGAATAATTGCCTCACTTCAACATTGCATTGAATGGAACAAGGTCCAAATTTTCTCATTGGTAATTTTTTCCCCCATTCTTCTTAGCAGTAATTCCGAAGGACTTGCAGATTGCAAGCTTTTCGTTGGAGCATTTGTTTCTTCATTTCCTACTAATGGTTCAACTATATTGAGATCAGGACTCTGTGCTGGCCAGTCTTCCAAAAATTAAATATCTTCATCCATAAGAAACCATTTTGTTGCATATGTGTGACAAGGAGCACACTCATACTGAAAACTTTCTCCTCCATGTTCATAGTCTGGCAGAAGATTACACTATAGCAAACTAATATAGTTTTCATTGTTATGGATGACATCAACTTCTGATTTTCTTCTATCATCCCTGCTGATGCAAGCCCACTCTATTCAATGCCAAATTTTACTGTTTTATGTTGTATCTTGCATGTTTTTTTTTCTCCCACTGGTTCAATTACATATTATCTTACTATTTAGCATTAATCTCTAAAAATTATTTTTGCCACTTTTCAGCATCCCATGTTAAATGTTTTTTAACCCATTTCAATCTTCTATTCCAATGTTTTTGGTTAATAATGTTTTTTTCTGTTGCTATATACCCATTCAAGTTGTTTTTCATAATAACCTGCATACTGTATTAACTGAAATCTCACTGTTAAGACTGTATACACACCTCATTTGCCTGGCTGTTAATTTTGGATTGCCTACCAAGACTTTCACAGTATGTCGAATTATTGTGGTCTTCCAGTTTTCTTTGCACTTAAAACACTTCCAATAGTGGTAAATTCTTTTTGGAGGGTTTGAACAGTTTCTGGAAATTTCCAGCCACCTGGCTCTCTCTCTCTCTCTCTCATGAAGTCATCTTCCCCTTCAATGTTACAACCTTCATCTTTGTTTCAGCAGAAATTTTAGCCATGATTTTAGTGTTAAAAAAAAAAAAAAGGCAAGGTAATGTTCAACTACAATTACTTGCCAAAGCACCTTACACACAATAAGATGGAACAATTCCTTAGAAATTTGTATATTATCATGAGTTTATTATCTCATTCATTGGCCCAATCATTTTGCATGGCCTTCTTTCAGCTTCAAACGATCTAAAGCCGTGTATCTTCTGTTACACAGCACCTACGAAAACAACAACTTACTTTCCAATCTTTACAGTCAATAGACACTACTGTTAAAAGCATACTGCTAAACAATAACTTAATAAAATAAAGATGAATCATTTTTTTTTATACAATTAGCCCAAAACTTTTGCACACCAGCATATAAGTTAATCTCCAGACAAACATGGAAAAGAGACCAATTTTTTTTTTCTAATACATTTATCTCAGGTGTAATGTCATTTGCTTGTTTCCCCATTCAAAGAAAAAAAAATTTTTTTTAATTTTTTAAAAAAATCAAAAGGCAGCCATTTAGATGTCAGGTTAAATCCTATTGGCAAAATATATATAAATAATTTACCTGTACCATAAAAAAATAAAGACACCAATATTTTATTAATCTTACAATTGTATTGGCCCTGTATTTGCATGAGTAATTCCAAATTTTTATCAATACAATTAATATTATTGTCACATGTAAGAGATTTTTTTTTTAAATCATTCAGAGTAAAAATATCTAAAGAAGGCTAACATGAAACTAAAAATATATTAGCAGCCAGTTCTTATTATCAAGATATTTTGTTTTTATTGTAACACAATGCATGTTCATTTAATGGCATCAAGTAATGACTCATTATGATAAAATATCTCATTAAGGAAGATCAGGATGTGTAACCAATAAGATTACATTTCTGTTTTATATTCACTAATCCCAAAGTTATTAAATGATTTCATGACATGTTTATAATTAAGAAAAATTATTTTTTATAATAAAGTGCAAAATTTTTCATAAAGGAAAAGAAAAGAACCAGAAATGAAAAGATTAATAATTTAAGCATAAAAATTAATTCATTGCTCTCATTATTTTATGCAGCAATTCTTCTTACTTTTGTAATGTTCATTGTTTATTATAAAAGCTGAAAAACTGAGGAGGAAAAACACAAAAAACTTGGATCCTTATCAGACTGAACATAAATGCAGACCCCACATGAGTATTAAATTGCAAATTGGATAAAAAACTGCTGTATTTTTTTAAGTTAAAGCATTCTAATAGTATTGCCATAACAATGTGTGCCATAGGTCTTAAAAATATTGTTACCTTCTAAAAAGGTTTTAACACTGTATGGAAACTCTACTAAAGAAAACAAGAAGGAAATCTGTTACAAGGAAAGAAAACTAAAAATATTAAAAATGGCCTTACATGTTTAAAAGCTATTGGAGGGACTTCCACGGCTCCCGTTTCCCTAAGGTACTCTGCCCAAACAAACTCAGGTTCATCATATAACTCAGACATCCCATCTGGAGAGAGAAAGAAGGAAAAAAAAAAAAAAAAAAACAGTTCATTTTTACCTCCTAAAAATGGTTTGCATACATATATTAAAATGTTTAAAAAGAAAAATTATTTTAAAAAGACAATGAACATAATAAAAGGAATTAAATTAACAAAAGAAAATTAATCATTTTCCCTTAATTTATTTGTCAAGCAATTCTTCAGACATATTTTTAAAAAATAAATCTAACTATAATTATAGGTTTATAAAGAAAAAAATTACAACACTTATTTCAATTAACTGTGTTACTTAATTACTTCATTAATGTTAATATAAAAACAATCTTAGTTTATATTATAAGTAGCAGATGGCTATAAAAAAAAAAGACACTGACAATTTTTATAGCTAATTTAAATAATGTACTGACTAATGTTTGTATCATGTGGCTCAAAGCACAGGGCTTTGTATCAGTGGCTCAAAGCTCAAAGCATATGGAACATCCATTCATCTTGACTGGTATCAGTTTAGGGCCCAATCAGCAATGAGTTAGCATTTAAGCAAACCACTCCCCCACAATTTAACATGCCAAGCTAGCAACAAAAAACATGTCCCTTGTCATTCTTGACAAGATCTGATCCAATCCAATGAGTGTGCTCGGGGACTCCAAGAGAAATTTTGCAAGGCAGTACAAGACTACTTTAGGGCCCCCAAGACAGACATAGATTTTTCTCAAAATTGAGGAGTTGATGCCCAGTAAATCTACATATAAACTGCTTTCTAGAAAATGCTTTCTTTCCATAATCAGATATAACAATGTAGCAACATAAATCAGTATTTACAGTAATATTCACCAATCGCCTTTTAGACTTTGTCATAGTGAAATACTTTTTAAACGTTCATAATAATTTCTTTCAAAAGGAAAATACTTTTAACAAAAAACAAATTTAACTAGAAAATGTGTTTTTCTGGGTTGTTTTTTTTTTTGTTTGTTTGCAAATTTACTAATAACAATATCAGAATCAATTTGTCTGGCAATATCAGATTCAATATCAGAATCAATTTGTCTGGCAATGCCAGATTCAATACTCAGTTGTGCCAGATCAACAAGTCTGGTTTGATTCATAGTAGACCTCAAATAGTTTTTGATAAGTTTGTGTTTACTAAACTTAGTTGCTTGTTCTCAAGTGGGGATGGGTGTTGCATTGTTACTGTGAGACCCTAAGTTTTGGGCCCGAGCTAGCCCCCTTCACATAAGCCCCGAATGTGCTATAAATTTACCAAGCCACAAGTTATAGTTACCACTCAAATTATTCCTAAATAGTATCAAACATAAAATGTACACGTTGGTTTTTTTTAGGTCACGCCTATAAGAAGATACAATAATTGCCAAACTCTGAAAGAGTTTTGTATGTATCAAGACTTTCTGCCACTTGATCTCATCTAAAAATCACCACATACTACTTATGAGAAAAGTCTAATAATGTAATTGTTTACAAAGTTTGTAAAAAGAACATATAGAAATTATTAAGTCAGACATAAGATGCAACACTTTTCATTTTGCTATTCATCTACTTTAGAGAAAGAGGCAAAAATAAATAAATAAATAAATAAAAACACACAAAACTACCCACCTTCTGTCTCATCCCCAAGATCCATATGAGCAGGGATCTCTTCTGATCCACTTGGAGACACTGGGACTTCACTTGGGTTCTGGCTACAGGATTCTTCAGCATAATCCTCTTCCTCCTCCTCTTCCACATTTTCTGAAACTGGAGACTCGGACGAAGCAAACTGGTCATCTTTCTCTGTCATTACAACAGAGTCCACAGATTTGTTGTCGGCAAGATCAGGGCAGATTTCGCAGGACGCATCAGAGTCCAGTTCAACAGGGGCCATTTGAACCTTGCTTCCCTCAACTACCTCAGTTCCATCCCCAGGTTGAGTCCCCACATAATTCTGTTCCTCCCCTATGATGACTTCTTCACTATTGTCTCCTAGAACCGTTGGCCCATTCAGCTGCTCTATGTGAGTGGTTGGGACCTGCTCGATGGCACCAGTTGCTGAAAATGGGCTGGTTAGATTGGCTGCAGCAATACCTGGGACACACTGTAAGTTTGAATGTATGACCATTGTTGGCTGGGTCACAAAAAGTTGGCTGTTAGTGAGCAGCTGTTGAGGGAACCCTGAAAATGTAGTCGGTAGATAAACTGGGGAGATCACCTGGGTGGTAAATGCCCCCAGTGTGGTGACAGGAGTGCAGTGCATGTTGGTAGGGAGGCCTGCCTGGAATGCTGGTTTTATAGGAGTCGGGTGCCCTATCAAGGCAGCTGCAGTACTAAACTGGTCCTTAATTGTCTTATCTGAGCACTTCAAGCTGTCCAAGGGGATGATACTGGCTTCACTCAGCGGTTGGATATGGTAGCCAACTCCAAGCATCTCATTCTCTTTAGCTTCTTCTGAAAAAGAAAGATGAGAGAAAAAGTTGAAAACTGAAATGTTGATAAGCATATTTTCCTGTGAAAATTGGTAAATTGTAGTTTTTTGGAATCAAATCTTTGACAACTATTGTTCAAAAGGACTATTTTAAAGGAAAATTCAGCCCTAAAAGATTGCAACCAGAAATTCTTCAAGTTTTAAATAAAACTTTGGAAAAAAAAGGGGGGAAGGAGGTTTTCATTTAACATAATTCTAGTTATTTTTTTTTTTATATGATAAAATAAATTTTTAAACTTCTGTTACATAAAACAGCACAAACTTTCTCAAATCTTTCCAGTTGGAAAACTTGAAAAATAAAAGTAATCAGCCTTACTTTAGGTAGGATCAAAAGCTTTTGGTTTTGTCCTATAATAGCATGATTGATTTTTTATGATTTATCAACCCTTTTGCATTATTTAAAGCCAAAACATTTTGGATTGTGACAACAATTCTTTTATTGAGTGAATATCACATAAAAATTTTTTTTTGAGAACAACGATATTTCCAGACACAAATCCTAATATTTAATCCACAGTTGGGGGAGGAGAGATTCATACTCTCCCTTCACCCCAATAGTATCTGCATGCAAACTCAACTGGAATTTGAACTTAGCTCTCCGATTTCTCATTCTAAAAGATGGCATGAGGCAATTTATTTTTTTATTTTTTTTTAACTACATTCAAAAAGAAAGCTTTTCTATTGCATTATGCCAGTTACTTTATAAGTATAGATAAAAAAATTAAATAAATTCTACAGTAGGAACATTCTGTTTGCTATACATAAAATGATTGCATATAGAACCCTTAAATATGGTAAGCACACTTACTGAAGATTTAACAATAATGTTTATTCCCTGTGACAAAAAAAAAAAAAAATTACCTTATATGTTATACAGAAATATCATTTTGGCAATAGATACCATTTGCATCTATTTAGTCATAGACTATAATTTCTAATATAATCAGGTTTTTTACAAGTAGTAGTATTTGCACAAGCTTCCCAACTGAAAATATATTTTCAACTTTACAGAGTTTTTGTCTTTTTGCAATTAGTGTGGTGCCAATGTTGATAAAAATAAGATTTTATTTGACAATTGAAAGATTGTAATATATACATTTCTTACTTATATATTTAATTTCTTTCACATTGGTATATAAAGTTACAAAGGTAGAATGTAAAATATATAAAATTATGCTTTTATTTGAATTAATAATTTAATCAATTTCAAATAACCTACCACTGTCATTTTACTGATCTTGTAACCAGCCAATGTTAAAAGTCTTAGCCTCTTACCAAGCATAAACAGACAAGTACTTCAAGCTAGTTGACACATTTGTTTATTGATTCTAATATGCAAAATTTTCATGAAGTTGCCTGAAAGTTGGTAAAATATAGTGAAACAAAATGTGTTTTGCAATAAAAAAAAAAAAAAAGAAATTAATTTAAAATACACACAAAAAAAAAGAAAAAATTCATTTTACAGAGTGGTCCAAAAGTCTTGTCACTCCCTACTAAAAATAAAACACTGGAACAAGTAGCACTAATCACATGGAATGGATTCAGTTTATTCCCTTTCGTTGATGCCGATACACATTGAGAAGGTCTGTATAAACACCATTTTTGTGGCACAAAATGATGCAGCGCCACATCCTGTGTGATATTTTATGAAGCTGTGCTTTGTTGATTGTTGCAAAGACTCACAGAGCAGCATCCTTCAACTGATGGGTATTCTGGTATCTTCCATGTGAACCTCTTTGATAATACCCCACAGTGAGTTTAAATAAAAATTTATATTATGTAGAGGTGACAAGACTTTTGGACCACCCTGTATAACAGACAAAAAAAAAAAAAAAAAAGATGAAAAGTTTTCATTATATCTTCAACTAATTCAAACTAATTTCCATGTCTGTTGTTTCGATTGCCATATACTCTGTAGCCTTTCTCAAAGTAGATGTCGAGTTTTCCAAATCAAACCTTATCTCTTAATATACATGCTGATTGGACGTGATTTTTCTTCCAATTCAAAACGATAAAAAATAAAATAAAATAAAAAAAAAATGGAAGCAATTTCAACAAACCTTTTCTTGTTGCCAGTTCAATATTCTGCCCCAGATCCTTGCCATCGGTTCTAATCATCTGCAATGTTCAGTGAGAAAACAAAAACAGTTTAATAATGCCACATGAAGAATTTACCAACCTAACTCCATTATGGATTTAAGGGCAGGTCAAAAAAGCAAAGTTTGGTTTGTTTTACAGCATACCAAACTAAATGGGTTATTTAATGGCAACAGGTTTTTTTTATTGTTGGTAATTTCTTTTAAAAAAAAACTCATTGCTGGTATTAAAACCTATTTTTTTTTTTTTACACTTTCATAGTGTTTTGACCCCAGTTTATTTGCCCATAGCTGGGACCCTAACAGGTGGGTCACAGTGGACCTGGGAACAACTAAGAGGTAGTTCTACAATCCCCAAAGCCTTCTAATCACAGACCTTGCTTTTGTATATAGTTTAATGTCTTACCCAGGACAGACAACAAAGCAAAGTGTGGATGAATGTAGTTATGTAGCAATATGACATTCAGACATGCCTCTCAGGCAAATAGACTTTTCTCTTCAATTGTATCAAACTTCAAAAAGATGGCACCAGTAATGCTCTGCAGCAACTGTCTCATCAGGCTTCAAGTAATTTATAAAATTTATAATACAGTTCAACTATTATTTTTAAAACAAATAAACCAACCCACTTATCCAATTTCAAAAAAAAAAAAAAAAAAAAAAAAAAAGTCACCTTTTGCTACTGATGTTGCCGACTGCCCTGGATCCACCCATTATTTTCAACCATTCAGATCAGAGTTGATAACTGGATTATTTTGAAAACTTAGCATAATTAAATTTTGCCACTTGCAACATTTTAGACTACTTTTAAAACAAGCAGCTTCAGTCACTTTCCTACCACCATGCCTTTTCTGTAAATACTTTCATGGTAATTGTTTGAATGAGCTCTTTGCTATTGGTACCTAGAGATATTGAATTTAAGTGCATTACTAGACCGTGTCAAGGTCTCATCAATTTACAATTGTACTGGCAAGATGTAGCTGTAAATTCTATGCTAACAGTTTCTTCTCTCGTACTTCTCGCTTGTGGAACACTCTTCAGGCTCCATGCTTTCCAGCCAACTTTAATCTGCAAAAATTTAAATGCAATGTCAATTACTATCTACTGTCCTCCTGATTACTCTCTTCTCTTTCTGCACAACATTAATATTTCTGTTCCTAATTCTTCCACACTCTGTAACCCCTTGTGCTTTAGTGGCATTACTGCCTTACTTGGGGTGATTCTGATAAAAAAAAAAAAAAAAAAAAAAATAATAGTTAACTGAGGCTATAAATCCAAGGAAAGTAGAGTCAAAATCTCGTAGTATTAAGAATTTCAAATTTAGTCTCATCTGGTGTGTGTGATTGAGATTATCTTACAGAAATAGAGCAAAAGATGCCATTCAAAAGCTAAACAAAGTACTAAGAAACTTTCACTAGAAACAAAGAAATGTGTACTAAACTTATGTAACCTCCTGTTGAGCAAATAATGCTGGACAATTTCTTCATAAATGGAAAGAAGACTGGCGGTAACAGAAATATGGTTCTATACGAGGATGCAAAGAATACTACGGACAGAGCATGTAAGCAACAAAGAAGTTAAGGAAAATAGAAACAAAATACACCAAGTATCAGAAACAGACAGCTGAAATTCCTTGGGTACATAAAGAGAAAGGAGGGTTTAGAGAATTTGACACTCACAGGACATGAAGGCAGAAGGGACAGTGGAAGACAGCAGGGCACATACCTGATGAATTTGTGAGAATGGATAGCAAAATGAGTTCGAGAGAGATAAGAGGTAAAAGGGATAGGAAGTTGTAGAGAACCATGATCTACCTCACATCCTGAAGGGTCACAGCAAATAGAAGAACAATCTTCCTCAAAGAAAATCTGACAATATATGTAGAAGCCATTCTACTGCTATTCAAAATGTTTGTACTTTGCAAGCATCTTACAAATATTGAATGATTGAGTGAGGTTATCAGCCCAAAAAATGCTTACAAGTCAGTACTTCTACATTCTGATGGTCTACTACTGTGCAGTTTGTCTTCCAAATAGAATTAATCTTTCTTGAACTTCCCAAACCATTCATACGTCTTGTTTTCAATTTAAATATTTCCAGAGGCTTCATCAGTTATCATTTTCAGTTCCTCTGCTTTCTTGAAAAGGAACAATATTCTGTATCACACATGTATCTTGTCTGACACCATTTCTCTCCTACCTCAATAAGGGCACCTCGAGGTGGTGTAATGGTTAGCAAGCTTGTCTCACTAGAACAATTATGACTGAGTAGTGAGTTCGATCCTCACTGGGTGCCTCCTAATTTCAGCCTTGTGCCACATCTAAGCTATGCTTGGAAAATCACTTTGGGCACCTCGGCGTGGTGTAATAGTTAGCAAGCTTGTCTCGCTAGATCAGTTACAACTGAAAAGTGAGTTTGATCCTCACTAGATGCCCCATACACCTCAGCTATGCTTGGAAAATAACTATGGGCACCTACAGGTGGTGTAAGCTTGTCTTGCTAGCACAATTACAAATGAGTGGTGAGTTCGATCCTCACTGGGTGCCCCATACTTTCGGCCTTGTGCCACATCTAAGCTACGCTTGGAAAATCGCTACCTCAATAAAATAAAAAATGAACACTGTATACTCAAAACCAAATTTCAACTTATTCCCTTTCTGCTGTGTGTGTGTGTGTGTGTGTGTGTGTGTGAGCTGAAAAGAAATGTCCAAAATGTGCCCACACACTTTCAGACAGGCATGATATTTACCTATGATTTGTCATACTAGGCTTTGCTGGAGTAAAGCAAGAAAATAAAGTCCACTATTTATATTATTCGGACTATTGTCCTCATCCAGTGACAGGACCCAAAGAGTGTGAGTTCAATACCTGGTTAAGGTGGTGGAGAACTTGGAGAGAGGAATTAACAGGAGATAACCGATAACTGACATCCATTAGACATGGCACATGGAACTAGAACAGTCTACCCCAGTGAGCAAAATAAAGGGTTCAGTTCGACATTCTAACCACCTAAAGAAGGCCGGAGCATACAACAGCCGAAACGTAATAAATATGGTGACAAAGACGAAGACAATAGTCTGAATAATGTAAATAGTGTACATAATACCTCATCTCAAAAACATAGACAGAAAAAGTCATATGCAATTTCATCATACCAGAACATTGGCCAACAAAATGGCATAAAAAACTAACAATTCAGGTCATGTGTGTGGAAAAGTGCACAAGTCAATTGTTATGCTGAAAAGACAAAAGATTCCAAAAAAATATTACCTAATAACACCAAAATGAGTGCATTGTCTGTCAACTTTGTGCCAGAGGTTTTAAAAGTTTGTTCAATTTAAAGAGCTATATCTGTTCAAGGTACAACTGAGTTTTACAATCAGGGTCAGCACTAGGGTCACACCCCGCCATTGAAACTTTGATACAGGGCCCCACCTTTATACTACATGCTTATCTCAAAGTTTCCCAACTTGGAGGCCACAAATCCTCAAAAGAAAATTGGGAAAGAAGTGCAGCACATTTTAAAATTACTAAAAATCAGGGAATTATTCAATTTAAATAAAAATTGAAGTACATATTCATTATTTGCTTTTATAATGAATAGGTTTCTTTTATTTAAAAATATTTGAGAAAATGTTCTTTTTGTAATAACGACCAATATTTTCATGACTAAATTTTAACTGCAGAAAAAAAAAAAATCATCTTTTACATCTCCATAAAGATTAATTGCCGTCACAGCTTCACTGAAAAAAATAAAAAAGGTTTACAAAGATTCCAACACAACACAAACAGGATTGTCTTAAAAATTTGTTTTAAAAAGAGTATTTCAGTTTTGGGGAAAATTTTTCATGTGTTGAAATTTTTAAACTTTTTTTTAAGCGATCATTTTCTCAGTTTTATCTTTCTAAAATGTAAAAATAGGGACTATAACTTTTATTTTAATTACTAGCTGTGGACTTCTGGTTGGTCTATAGTAAAAAAAAAAAAAAAAAAAAAAAAAAAAAAAATCAGAGATCCTCCTTCCTTACTGGGCAATAATGGAATAAAAAATGATTTTGCCAAGATATATTACCCTCTTAATTTATTTAAAAGTGACTGTTCAGAAAGAAAATTACAATTCAAAAAAAAAATAAATGTTACTGAAAGTAGCACTCCTGCCCCACTTCCCAATAGGCATGCCCCCCCCCACACACACACACACACACGGTTGGGAAGTTCAGGGTAGTAAGCACTGGCCCTGTCAATTATTATAGTTGAGGATTGACAATATAACTTGGGTAGAAAAAAACTAAAGTAAAAAGTACAAAAAGCAAAAACACTGCTGAAAGTAGCCCTTTTGGGACTCCAACCTCATCAGGGGTTTCTGTGTAGTACACACCGCACTAGCCATGCAGATACAGGATGTACATTATTAGTTGAGGACTGACAGTGTAAAAAAAAAAAAAAAAGCTGGCCATAGAACAGTGCTGGAAAAAAATAAAATAAAATAAAAAATGGCAGAAGCTACAATGGCCCTGTTTACAATGATGTCTTCCAATAGTCTTACTCAACAAGGTGGAAGCAGTTATATGGATAGATAGTCTTCATCTATAATTATACCAAATTTTACATAAGTTATTTGGGATCAGTGACAGAGAAATTTAGTAGTAGAGGGTAACACTTTACTTCCAGTCCAAATTTTTTTGTATTAGTTCCATACTAATACTTTTAGAGAAAAGGCATATGACAATGAGTATCTCCCTTTTTCAGCCCATTTTTACTGAAATTGACTTGAAATTAATATCTTGGATAATATCTAAGAGAGGAAAATTAATTATTAACTTCTCGATTGACAAAAAAGTGAAAGGCAACCAAAGAGGTGTGTGAATAAGATATGCATCTGGAAATGTTTTGATTAAAAGCAGGACATATGAATGGTTTGATAAATTCAAGAAAGATTAATTTGACTTGGAAGACAAACTGCACAGTGCTAGACCATCAGAATTTAGAAATATTGACTTGTAAGCATTTTTTGGCTGTTAA